TTGCATGAGACTTGTGTGACACCCAACCGTCTGCCCGTGGTTAACTCTCAGTTGCAGCATGAAACTAATGTTTCTTCTACCAGCATTTGGGGTTGACTCTTTGTCGCCGCCACCAGCCTGTGTCCCAGTTGATCGGTGGTTGTCGTTATACCAATATGAGACACTGGCCTGTCTAGGGTCGAATTCTGGTCGTTGATGTCAATGGCTTCGCCAACTGTACCGCCTATCACTATTTCTACCACTCGACCAATGGCATCCCAGCCATGCAGGTGTGGCTAAGCTGGCCTCCTTAAAATTATAATCTAGAATTTTTGTTTACAAAATTCTCCTTTTTCCCATCGGCCAAAATTTTTACGAATTCCATATGCCAATTAAATTCCTATCATATCCTTTGGCCACCCAGAATTCACTTAGTCAGCACTCTCTACCAACTTCAATCACTGTCAAAGTTTGCCATCTGATCCCTTTGTGAAGTTAGCTTTATAATGGAATCCTTGGCTTGTTGAGAAATTAAATTCTTTTATCTCGCCAAATCTCAATTCTCCACTCTATTTTCTGTCTCAGCGTCTGAACGACACATTGATAAGGTAAATAATAACAATCCTCTCTCCTATGTCGAGACAATGCCAAAATTTTATAATTGCTACATTGCTTCCTCTCCGGTGGCCAAGAAAAAAAAAATAAACGATATCGTGGAAAGATAATTAAAATTTGATTCTCCCTGCCTGTATCAGTGATCGTCTCAAGTCGAAATTTTTATGACCACCATGGTCTGGCTAATATCTAAATATTTGCTTTTCCTTCTCTCTCCCTCGGTGAGACATTAATCAACTTGACAAGACCTCACACATGGCTTTTTCCATGGTTTTATTGTCTTTTGTGCAAAGTATCTTTTTCATAAATAGAATAAAATCTTCATTTTTACATTGATCAGTCTATCTTTTGGGATAGCTCTTTTTCGCTTTAAGTATTTCTTGTTTTAATTTCTATGGTTAACTAGTTAGCCAATTACCATAGTTAAATAGTGTCACAATTATTGCTGAAATTTATATCTTCAAATACTTTTACATTTGATTAGATTATTAATACCTGCCAGGCTGATGTTTATTGTGCTAGTTAATTTTCATTCAATGCTCCAATGGTCATAGTAAAAATATTTGCACTACAGTATTTCTCAAATGACTTGACCTACTTTTGAATTAAAATTATCTTATAAAATTGTACAAAAGTCAAGTACAAATGTTTACTGCTCTTTTTTTTATTGTTTTTTTTTTTTTAAATAATTTTCAGTTGATACTTTTATGGTAATTATTCTGATGAATTCTCCTCTATGGTACCTGGGCTTTATGAATTTAAGTGCAGTACTAGATTGGCAGCTTTTTACAGTCAAAATAGCTAGATATAACTGTAAGTTCTATGTTAATAGTTTCTTCGCACTTCTTGCTTGCGGAACTCCCTTCTGGCATTTTGCTTCTCAGTAAACTTTGATCTTCAAAAATTTAAATGCAATGTCAATCATTATCTTCTTATTCTTTTATTGTCCTCTCTCTTTCATAGTAGTTTTTCTCATGTTCTCTAACGCACAGTAACCTCTTGCATCCTAGTGACTTTATTGCCTTGTTTGGGTCAAAATGATCTCTTTGTATGTTTCACTCCTGTAGTTAAACAGTGTCTCAAAATGACAATCTATTGTTGACATGCTCACAGAAAGTTTGAATTTCTTTTAATCAACTTTAATTTTCTTCATGGATATTTTAAAAAGTTTATATCATTTAGCATTTTGATAACTAGATTTCTCAGTTAACAAAATGATATTGCCATATTTCTGATATTGATTCGTTGCATAAAGGTTACAAAAACTTAGCACTTGTTTGTAAACTCCTCACAATATGCCTGCAATGTCATTTTGTTGAAGATATGTTTCCTTGTAACATTACATCAACATTCCTTTTTAGCTACTCACAAAATTACACATACTGTAAAAATGTTGCCTTGTAGACTGTCCACAGCATAGCAGCAATGTTACAGAATGTCTGAAAGAACTCCACACATGCTTCCAGATTCATTATGAGCTTGAAGTCGCTCTAGAATTTTACACTTGTATGAAATGTCAAACATTACTTCAATCATTCTTAGGAAAATTAGCTTGTCTTCAATAGACATTTGTTCCAAACCCATTCTTTCAAACTCACAATATCTCAGCACTTCTTTCAATCATATGCACTTCTGTACATATTGAATAATAGTTTTATCTGGTCTCTGTCTACTTTTGAGAAATTTAGTTCTTTCCACTATAACAATCTTTTTTTTTGGTTGTATATTTGCTTTTATGATGGCAGCAATTTCTTCAAACGCTAAATCTTCCAACACTTTGGGATAGACTATGATGGAGATTTTTTTATGGCCTCACACCATGCTAAGGCCAAAAACAAATCCATAACTTCATTTTCTTCTCCACTAGCTTTGGTGTCCTTTAACTTTTAAACACTCACCAATGCAGTGAAACACCTAAGCCAGGTTTCATTATATTCCAGATCATCCATTGTGGTTAAGTATCTGATCGGCAAAGCCATATTGTTATGATAGGTATTCTCTCTGACATATGTAGTTTTGTCATACCCATAGGTATAATGATGCAGCATTTCATACAGTATCTCATTTACATATCACTACTCACAATTTATTCTAAGTAAAAAATACATTAATTTTATCAAATGGATTTATAAAGCATTTTAATCAAAAACAAATCTTGTTTTGAATAATAAACTGAATATTACAAGTCACATACAAAATTGAAGATCAAAATTGAAATCTTTGAATGCCATAATTTTGAAAGGTCTATTTTGCAATATGACAAAATTTGAACTGAATGAAAAACCTAGGTATAAATTATTGAAATCCTAATGATATAAAAATTATAATAATTTCTACACCATAATTTAACTTTCTGTTTCCATTTTCAGGACATGTTCCCATCTATGGCAAAAGCTGTGATTACCACAATGTTTGTTGGGACAGTTTAGCCATTTTGCAAGTGATCCATCAACATAACTGTGTTCTAGCCTACTTGGCAGGTCATGACCATAATGGAGGTTCAGCAATTGATGAGAAAGGCATCTACCATATTGTCATAGCTGGGGTTATAGAAACACAACCAAATGAAACATGCTTTGCAACAGCAAAATTATGTCCAGAGACATTATATATTTATGGTCATGGTAAAATGGACAACTTTCAGATCCCATTGAAATATCCAATCAGAACAATGACTCGACATTAAAACACTTAAATTAAAAGTTATATAATATTTTTTTTAAAGATTTACTAGAAACATTATAAACCTGGAAGTTTTATTTAAACTTAACAATTTATTTTTTATGGCAGTTTTAGATTAATAAACTTTTATCAAAATTAATGTTTAAATATTTTAAATATCTAAGACTCAAATTAACAGAGCAAAATTGATTTCATCCTCTAAAGTGCTACCAGATGTGCAATTTATACTAAGGAAAGAAAACTTGGATATCAAAGAATTTTTCATTTATCATCCATAAATGTAAAAATTCACAACTTGTATCTTTCATTCAGTCACTTTTTTATATGTAGATTGGATTTTACAACAGTAATATCTGATAACAATGAAATTTGTAGGTAAGTATTTTTCATCGAAACTGGTTCAATGCAATATTGATATTTCCTACATTCCTTGTGTGTGTATATTAATGTAGATATAAAATGGCAATTCAGTATAAATATTATTTCATTTTTGTGATGTTAAATCATCAAAGCTGTTTTATTCATGAAAAGTTTTTATAAAAATAGAACAAAATATAAAAACCTCCAAGTTTCATTTTTATCATACACTTTCCTCCCCATGATGATGAGATACTAAGAGACAGTGTGACTATGAACATAATATAGTCCACACTTTATATATTAACAGCCACTCAATATTTTCTTTAATCGTAACCTTTTTTTATTATTTACCTACAGTACTGTTTAATAACTTTGAAAGCCAGCTATTCCAAGCAATAAATTTATATAAAATGACCATTTTTATTATAATTTTATAAAATAAGTAATATGTTTGAAATAAACTCCTTTTAATAGATAATTTTAATCTTAGTTAATACAGCCAAAATTCTTTTTGCTCAAATATGAATCATAAATCTGAACACGATCTCAACCTTTGTGCAGGTGGAGAAAGCAATTTTGATTAGGCACCTGTTTTTAACAAAATGAAAAAAAATTATTTTTTTTTTACTAACTCACTGATTAATATCAGTTTCTGATGTGCCACATGAAAGCTCTGTTTTTTCCAAAGATTCATAGGTACCAAAATGACCATGTATTCTCAGCACCAATCACCTATCCTTTAAGACAGGCAAAATTCATCTTATTAACAAGCAAGTATTAAATGGCAAAAAACATGTATTATTTAATTCTGAAAATGAAAAAGTCCTTCATAAGATATAGAGATACCTAACAGCCCTAACTTTAACCTGCTCATCTTTCAATTTCGGAAATTGATTGAGGTTATTAAATCAAGATGCATAAAAATGTTTCAACAGAACATAACCCGATTTACTGAACTCAAGGATAAGTCAAAATTCTCAAAATATCCACTTGGGTGATACTAAAAAAGTTGAAATTATTTATCTCACTTGTGTTATTTTACAATTAAGTGGAATTTAAATTTTTCCATTTAAAACCAACTCTATATACTGGGAAACATGATGCAAATTGATTTATTGCAATTAAGAAAAATATCCAAAAGACCCTTCACAAACACTCACCTCCACTGTCAATCATGACTTAAAAAAATCAGTATACAGATCACTAATATAACTAATTCTTTTTAATGATCTGTAAACAGGTGAATACTATAATTTGAATACCAGGGAAATATAAAACTACATTAGGAAGGGCATTTAATTCAAATAAGCTTCCTGCAGTATTCTAAAATTTTTCATTGCTTAGTTTCTATGTATTTGTGCCTATTAAGATTTCTGGGTCACCAAAGCAGCAGCAATTGCACTTCCCTGGCCACTGGAATCTTTTGCAAGGATAATATTTGTCTGAAATATAAAACAAATTGTATAGATTGTACATATAAATGATACCATATGTAATTTTAAGGAAAATCATTGGAATGAGACTACTAAATGCAGTTGTATTATATACCCTAGCCTTACTTGATAGGTATACAGATCCTCTTGAATTAGGCAAATTCAATTAGACCATCTATACAATTCACTGCATTACTATCGAGTTATGTCCGGTGCCTGCAGGAATGTATAAACGATGTAAAGGGTATAAAAGTCCTTGGAACCTATCCTTTGCCTAGAAAGGAGCAACAGGTGCAACTGCTCACATCAAACACAAAATAATTTTCTGGGCATGGAACGATTGAACATTGAGGAACTGCGGCCAGTTTGATAATATTAAACAAGAGATAAACAGACTTAACATCAACATTCTAGGTGTACATGAAACTAGATGGCCAAACAACAGTGATTTTTGTCGGCAACAAACACAGGATAATTTATACTGGCGGTGAGAAGAACAACAAAGGAGTAGGACTAATACTAGATGGTGCATTTAAGAAATGCGTTCTAAGATATCACCAACTTTCCAAAAGAATGGAAACTGAAAGGGAAGCCTTTCAACATGGCTATTATAATAGTGTATGCACCAATGGCACAAAGCAAGGAAGAGGACATTGAATTGTTCTACTCTATGCTGGACAGTGCCAAGGCTCTATGCAAATCACAGGAAGTCATCATTATCATGGGAGACCTAAATGCCAAAGTAGGCAGGGGATATAGCAGGAAGATTCGAACTAGGAACCCGCAAGAAACACAGAGAAAAATGGATTCAATGGTGCACAGCCAATGACTAGATAATAGCCAACACATGGTTCCAAGAACATCCAAGACAATTATGGACATGGAGGAGAAACTAAAAACCAAATTGATTATATAACCATCAACAAAAGATTTGGGAATACAATGATTCATTGCAAAACCTACCCAAGTGCCGACTGCCGGAGGGATGATTGCCTTCCTGTATGTAAACTGTGTGAAACTGCAGAAATTGAAGAAACCTAACACAGCATCCAAACTGCAATAAACTCCTGAGTGACCCTAACCTAAAAAAAAAATATATGGACAATACGAGGCACACAATGGCAACTCGAAATGGGATGCATTAAGAGACGCTTTAGTGACATCAGCAAACGATATCATCCCAAAGGAGACAGGCCGAAGAAGAAAAAAATGAATGGATGACTGATGAGATTCTTGACATGATGGAAAGGAGACAGAAAACTTTGCCAAGATTTCTTGTTTAATATTATCAAACTGGCTTCAGTTGTTCAATGTACAGACATTCCTTGTCCTGAGACTTATTTTGTGTTTGATGCAAGCAGTTGCAGTATAACGGTCCAGTGACACCTGTGGCACAATGACCAGGTAAGAGCCAACACCTGGTTCCAAGAACATCCAAGACAACTATGGATATTGAGGAGCCCAGGAGGAGAAACTAAAAACCAAATTGATTATATAACCATCAACAATAGATTCAGGAACACTGATTCACTGTAAGACCTTCCCAAGTGCCAGCTGTGGAAGCGATCATTACCCTCTTATATGTAAACTAAGAGTGAAACTGCAGAAATTGAAGGAGCCTAACACAGCACCCAAACTGCAATACAACAAACTCCTGATATCATCCCAAAGGAGACAAGACGAAGAAGAAAAAACAAATGGATGATTGATGAGATTTTCAACTTGATGAAAAGAAGACAGAAAACTCTGCCAAGATTCGGAATGGAGGACAGAAAATTACACAATGAAATAAAGACCAAATGCACTCAAGCTAAGGAAGAATGGCTAAATGAAAAATGTGCAAAAATAGAAAGATTGAATACTACCAACAAAAGAGATATGCACAAGCAAATAAAGCAACAGGACAGAAGACATACTATGTCTATATTTCTGAGATTAGGTATTGTAATTATTTACTTATCCAAACTGTTAACCTCATTTTTATTGCTATATTCACAACACTTTGGCCATTGTATGCTCCAGCTGGAATTTATTTCATTCACTGGAGTAGATTATTCTAGTTCCACATGCCAAGTCACAGTTATCTCCCTTTAACTCAACTCTCCAAGTTTTATTCACCACTGCAGTAGGCAGGTATTGAACTCATAACTCTTTGGGTCAAGTCACTGGATCCAACCAACACTTTTATCCATTGGAACTAAGGACTGTGTTTATGCCATCAATTGGGCCATACATCCTTGAGGACATCAGTATATGAATTTTTGGGACGTATAAACTTATTGTCTCAGTAACAGATTTTTACCAGAACTCGTATTGCAATTTTTGTTGTTATTATTACTTTTTCTCTAGCACTCTGTATTACTGGTTCCCATATTGTATTCATTTCTATGCATGGTCAGATTAGATTTTTGTGGCGTAGCATATGTAATGATTCCTTAAGTTTACATATATCCAGTGATGTTCCCCGATTTCAAGCTCATCCCACAGGGGATGGTGATCTCCCTTTTCCCTCCATATGTGATCAGCTATGCCTGATTTTTCTATTTCACCTCATGTTACGGCATTAAGATGTTCTTGCAGTCTTACCTTATATTTCATACCACAGTTGCACGAGATGGCATAGTTCCTCTATGGGAAGTCTTAATCGGAAGAGGTGTTTGCAAAATGTTGAACGACTTTCGAAGGTTGTACTGATGTTATCTGGACCACAGATCTTTTGTATTTTCTCCGTTAATCCCTTCACATAGGGTAGGCAGACCAAAGCTGTTTTCTGAGTGCTGTTATCCTCTTGTGCCCTTCTATCCCAGTTTGCCATTGTGCTAAGGGTAGTTGTTACATTGTAGGGTACTGCTCATATTGACTATTTCTTCTTCATATGTATCTGTGTCACCTCTTATGACTTTTGTGGACAATCCCTTTCTTTACACTGTATGGGTGGTGAGAGTTGAAGTTGAGGTATTATCCAGTGAATGTTGGCTTGTGGTATATGGATGTCTTGAGCCCTTGCTCTGTTCAAGATATTAGTACATCCAGGAATGCTAGTTTGTTGTCGTTTTCTCTCTCCATTGTGAAGTGTATTGATGTTCTGATTGAGATCACAAAGTCCAGTAGTAGCTGTGCCTCTTTCTGGTGTGGCCAGAGTATGAAGGTGTCATCTATGTATCTCTGCCATAGGGTTGGCTTTAGTGATTCTAATGCCATTTCTTCAAAGTATTCCATGTATATGTTTGCCATTGCTGGTGATAATGGCAAGCTCATTGCTAAGCCTTCATCCTGTTGATATATGTTTGATCCCATTCCAAAGTGTGTTGTTTGTGTACAGAAAGTCAGCATCTCCATCAGGTTAACTATTGGTATACTGGTCCATTCTTCTAGGGATAAGTCCAAGGCCAATCTGTCCCTGACTATTGATAGTGTCTCCTCTGTGGGTACTTTGGTGTACAAACTCACCACATCCAGACTCACCATCTGGTTGGATTGGATGGGAGCATCTTTGATTATTTCCATGAAGTGGATGGAGTTTCGGATATATGAAGATGACTTTCCTATTAATGAGTCAATTATATCTAAAAGGAAGTGGCTCAGATGTTGGCACACAGACCCTTGGCAGCTAACAATTGGCCTGAACAGAATATTGTCTTTGTGAATTTTATAAGTCCCAAAAATTCATACACTGATGTCCTCAAGAACACATGGCCCAGTGGATAAAAGTGTTGGTTGGATCCAGTGACTTGACCCAAAGAGTTGTGAGTTCAATACCTGCTTACTGCAGAGGTGAACAAAAACTTGGGAGAGTTGAGTTAAAGGAAGATAACTGAGTTATCCAGAAGGTAAGAAGGGACTCAGCATAAACTGCAAGAAGACAGAATGCTTTTACTGATGACCATGCATTCTGTCTTCCTGTAATTTATTCTTAGTCCCTTCTTCTCACTCTCCATTGCTACCTTCTATAGATTTTGTAATTTCTTTTCCATGTCTGCTATCAGAACTCTGTCATCTGTGTATGTTATGTTGTTAAGATTGTGGCCACCAATGCTAAATCCCAGTAGGGTTTCCAATTCTCTCAGAATTGCCTCGCTCTATAGGTTGAACAGGTTGGGTGAGAAGACGCATCCTTGCCTTACGCCCCTTTCTATTTTTGTATATTCACTGAACTTGTTCACTATACGCATGCATGCTGCTTGCTGCCAGTATAGGTTCTTGATTATTCTGATATCTTTCCCGAATATATCAAGGTTGCTGAGCAATTCCATCAGATCCTTGGCATACTTTGTCAAAGGCCTTTGCGTAGTCTATAAAACATGTCCTTCTGTATTTGTATTGCTCTTTCTGATAACATTCTGAGCATGAATATCGCATTCCTTGTTCTGGTGTCTTTAACAAACCCGCATTGTTCTTGTCCTGTCTCTGGCCTGATTCTGCTGCGTGCTCTATTTATCAGAATATGGATGATAAGTCTTTGTCAAGTGGCTTATTAGGCTTATTGTTCAGTGAAGTTTGCATTCATTTGTGTCTGGTTTTGTAGGCATTGCTATGAAGATAAATCTGCTGAGGTCTTCAGTATATCCCACCACTGTAGATTTCATTTGTTATTTCAGTGATCTTGTCTATGCCAAAGTCATCTAAAGCTGTCAGCATTTCTGTTAAAATTCCTTCTGGCCCAGCTGCCTTGTTTCTGTTCAATTTGGCCAGTGCAGCTTTAACTTCGGTTTTCAGAATTCCAGATCCATCAATAGTCCTGTGTATTGCTGGTTGTTCCCTTTTGTCGTGGAAGAGTTCTCCAATATACTTGCTCCAGCGTTGAAGAATTTTTTCTTTCTCTGAGTGTTCCATCCTTTGATTTTGACTTTGTAATCTCAATCAGAACATCAATACACTTCACAATGGAGAGAGAAAACGACAACAAACTAGCATTCCTGGATGTACTAATATCTTGAACAGAGCATGGGCTCAAGACATCCATATACCACAAGCCAACATTCACTGGATAATACCTCAACTTCAACTCTCACCACCCATACAGTGTAAAGAAAGGGATTGTCCACAAAAGTCATAAGAGGTGACACAGATACATATGAAGAAGAAATAGTCAATATGAGCAGTACCCTACAATGTAACAACTACCCTTAGCACAATGGCAAACTGGGATAGAAGGGCACAAGAGGATAACAGCACTCAGAAAACAGCTTTGGTCTGCCTACCCTATGTGAAGGGATTAACGGAGAAAATACAAAAGATCTGTGGTCCAGATAACATCAGTACAACCTTCGAAAGTCGTTCAACATTTTGCAAACACCTCTTCCGATTAAGACTTCCCATAGAGGAACTATGCCATCTCGTGCAACTGTGGTATGAAATATAAGGTAAGACTGCAAGAACATCTTAATGCCGTAACATGAGGTGAAATAGAAAAATCAGGCATAGCTGATCACATATGGAGGGAAAAGGAGATCACCATCCCCTGTGGGATGAGCTTGAAATCGGGGAACATCACTGGATATATGTAAACTTAAGGAATCATTACATATGCTACATACAAAAATCTAATCTGACCATGCATAGAAATGAATACAATATGGGAACCAGTAATACAGAGTGCTAGAGAAAAGTAATAATAACAACAAAAATTGCAATACGAGTTCTGGTAAAAATCTGTTACTGAGACAATAAGTTTATACGTCCCAAAAATTCATATACTGATGTCCTCAAGGATGTATGGCCCAATTGATGGCATAAACACAGTCCTTAGTTCCAATGGATAAAAGTGTTGGTTGGATCCAGTGACTTGACCCAAAGAGTTATGAGTTCAATACCTGCCTACTGCAGTGGTGAATAAAACTTGGAGAGTTGAGTTAAAGGGAGATAACTGTGACTTGGCATGTGGAACTAGAATAATCTACTCCAGTGAATGAAATAAATTCCAGCTGGAGCATACAATGGCCAAAGTGTTGTGAATATAGCAATAAAAATGAGGTTAACAGTTTGAATAAGTAAGTAATTACAATACCTAATCTCAGAAATATAGACAGAAGCACAAAATAGTTACTGTTATCTGGTTACATATAATTTCCTCCCAATTTAAATATTTTTATACTGGTTTCTTGTAGATGTAATTTTTTATTTTTATGTACATAAGTAGAAGTACTGTTTTTTAATTATAGCTATTTACAGTGCTACTTATTCATCCATTTTTCAAACATTACAGATGATTATTTTTCTGGTGAATTTGGTAGTTTTCACTTTAATGATGCTGTGACTATGACAATATCATCTTAAATTAGGCTAATTCATGGTTAGAAAATGAAACAACTGAAAAAATGAGTTTATTAATCTCAAACTATCAAGTTATTCTAATAAACATTTTGAAATAAAATACTCTTATAAAAAAATGCAATATAAATTAAAAGAAAAATAATTTACATAATTTTAATTCTTCATTTTTCATTTCTCTTCCAATGTTAGGTACAGATAATTACAAAAATGCTTTTAGAAATAAGCATTATCTTGGAGAATTTTGTTTGTTATTTAGTTTTATAGATACTTAACAAATACAGGCTATTACAAACCCAATTAAAATTTCTTTCTTTCAAGGATAATGTGAAGTAATAATTTTAATCTTTTGAACACAACATTTAGGTAGATTTAATTTTTTTTTTTTTTTAATCATATCACTAATTTAGTATTTATTTTAAAACATGCTGTTTCTTTTGAATTATTGATATATAAATTCAATTTTTTAAATTATAAATATGTTATGGGAACTTACCTATAACAATAATGAACTCTTCCTGACACTAAATACTGCGCCTCTCAAGAGGTATAATGAATGAATGAATGGTGTAATGAGTAGAGACAATATTAGTTCACTTTAAACCAGACGGACAGTCATTACTAACACCTTCAACTTCTTGTACTATATTTCTGTTGTAATATATCTTTGTTATTCTACTCTTGTGTTTGTGTTGTTCTTCCTTGGTTCTAACCTTGGACTATAACTGTGGTGCGAGGATATTGGACCATAACAAAATAAAAACACAGTTACAAATCATTATCAGGTGTTGATTTTGCATGTTCAAAAAAGAAATGACACAAAAACATCAGTATTATTAAAAAAGGCTACTTAAAATTATTCACTAGTTGCCAAATATGTGGGAAATAAGAATAAGCCAGCCAAAGCACTGCGTGTAAAGCAAAAAAGATAAAAATAATCCATGGATAATTGAATTTTGGAACTTTAACAAAATTTCTTTCTATTTTAATTTCTGGTTATTATTATTATTTACATGCAGACTATTATCCTCATCTTTGTTGTTGTCATCATGTTTCGACCAATGTGCCTTCCAGTCTTTATCAGGTGTATGTTGATCCGAGTAACCTACATAAAACTAAACCCTTTATTTAATCTACAAGGGTAGATTGTTCTTGTTCCACTGCCCATGTCTAAGGATATCTCATCAAGTACGTACTGCCTTACCCAGGGATGGAACTCACAATTACTGTCACCAAATTAATGAACTAATGCTTTAATCCACCCGGTTATTGTACCGTGGGACAATTCTGACTGAAAATTTTATCTTCCAATTACAGCTGATGACACTGTTGAAGACCTATTGTCATTTTTTTCTTTCTTAGTGGCTCTCATATTTTTGTATTTATTTATATGCTTGGCTTATTAAGGAGGTCCTTATAGCTTAGCATATGTTAGTTCTTTCAGGCAGTCATCTAACTCTCCATTGTTTCTTCCAGTGTGAACTGGTTTGATGGTTTTATTGAGTTCATATGGTCTTGCATTTATTTCTTATGGAATCTTGAAGAGTACTTTGCAATATTTTTCTTTTAATCTCTTCCAGTAACTTACCTCCATTTTCTATAAATGTGTTTTCTTACCTTGGTCTGTGGAGACAAAGCATGTATAACATCCATCATGTAGCTATGGTATTTGGGGTGATTTTCATAAAGAGAACCATCAACTGCAATGGTCACTACCTCTCTCTTTGTTCGATCAACAAGTGCAGATAATGCTATAGAAGGAAGAAAAAATTGATGTGAGAGGAAAGAAAAGTTATTTAGTATCATTTAGTAAGCTGTTTTAATATTTGATTTTTCTTTAAGAATTACATTTGAAAATAGTTTTAATTCCATAAGCAACATTCCCAGGATGCAAGTTCTTACCAAAGTGTCTTGATCCATACTGCTGCTGCTGCTACAAAATAATGCTCTCTATAGTAAAAGTATATTGTATACACCTGTGTGTGCGTGTATATATATATATATATATATATATATATATATATATATATATATATATATGACATACCTTTTACTGTAATGCATTTTTATCACTTTTGTTGATTCAAATCTTGACTAGGAATGATAGTTTATTGCTGCATTTCTACAACAATTGCAGAACAAGGCCAAAGGGAAAATGGGGGTAAGGCTGGTGAACATTGACTATCCTAGACTTAGCTAATCAGATTTATAATCCATTATGATTTGCTCATTCATCCATCACCATTCAATCTGCCATATACACATATACACAGAGAACCTACAAAACATATTCTCAGGGAACTTAGAAAACCCCATGACATAAAATTTCCTTTATGTATAAATTATCCAAAACCATGTAAAAATATAGTGACATGAACTGAGTGGGAGGGAATGAACCCACAAAACGAAACTAAAATATAACGAAACATTCAAACTAAAAATAACATGTTAGTAGGATATGATGTCACAATCCCACCCTCAGTCACTGGGCAAGTTTGTGGTTAATCCCTACAGCCAGCCTTCAAGTTGGTTGCCCCGATCTTCAATTCCACCCTGCCCACACTGTTTGTTTTAAATCACAGGGTGGATGAAGGCCCAAGTCGTATACTCAACGTTGCTGATGCAGTAGCTTTGGCAAGATGACATCACAAGGAACAAAGTAACGCAACAACTTTATATCAAAGTTTCATATAATGAATGTTCTACTCACTAAATTAGCAACATGCAGATTTTCAGCACTTTCCCCTTTGTGATGGAGAGAGAGTCTGAAAAACACACACACATTTATTTTTTTTTTTTTTTAGTGAAATTGGAATGGATTTGAACAGCGAAATTAGAGCAATTTCGTTTACTGATGGGAAATCTGATCTAGGACACAAGCTGTACCCATTGAAACTGGGTCATTAGTAGACAATGGAAATGGTCGAAATAATTTTTATTGATTAAAACATGGAATAGATTTGAATAGTGAAATTAAATCAGAGCATTTTGTTTACTGATGTGGAAATTTGATCTAGGCCAGAAGTTGTACCCATTGAATCTGGGTCATCAGAAGACAATGGAAATGGCTGAAATAATTTTTATCGATTAAAAATTGAAATAGAGCTGAGTAAGCTAGAAGGACCTTTTGAATTCACATGATTTTGGTTGAAGCAGCCAAAACCCCGTGATAATCATGTGTGACCAAGGTTCAGTTGTAACCAGCCTGGTTTATCTATATAAACACATAGTTATGCTGCAAAAGGCAGACAGGAGAAATTTCTTGAAGAGAGAATTGGTCCAGGCAAGCGTTGAGATGGAAGAGAGAGACTCAAGAAGGAGAGAATGTGACATCAGAGATTGGAACGAAGCAGCCACTAACATGTGCTGTTGATATAAGTACGACTGCTCTGCTACCACGACTATTACTGTTACTACTGCTAAGGGGGAACGCTACTATAAACTTTAAGCCATGCACAAAAATCTTATTTCCCTGTCGCAAGAGTCGTATATATATTTCCCTGAGACGATTTAATAACAAGTTAATCATAACACACCCTCTCTCTCTGTCCAGAATCCAGTGTATGCATTTTTTTTCATCAATTACTTTTCTTTTCTGTAACCCATTTCTTTTCTATACTATTCTTTTCTGCTTTATAAAAGACAATTCAATTCAATCATTGAATGGTTGTTTGTCCGGCTTTCTGCAGATATTATTTTTTTTTTTTTTGCTGCATTCTAAATTTCTTAGCACCAACTCTCCAGCCGTGTCTACATCTTCAATCAACCGTGAATGGATGAACATCACTTCTGCTTTCTGGATCAAACCAAACACAACGTGGGCAGGATTAAACCAGTGGACTGGTCAAATAATCTACAGATGCTCAGGGGACCTACAGCCACTCCCTTAAGTTCGGTTAGGACTGAGTAGACACCTCAACCCAGAGAGTAAGACGTCGGAGGTTGAGGGGCTGGGGTGAAAGTGTTAGACCATAATGCTCCGTGATACTATGTCTAGCCATGCTTGGTAAACTGGTACAAGGCTGAAGTTTGATTTCTTCCACTCTGTGATTTCTTTAGGTTGACCATTCAGGTGTATTTGGTAGTCTGGAACAAGGCCAGAGTCTAAGTTCTTTCTCCAGAATCTGTGTAGGGTTTGGCAAAGCAGGTTTTGAGCCAACTGGTAATGCATCTCTCTTGCAAACAGCACCTCAAGCTGTCTGCTTCCTTCTTCTCATCTTATTCGTCTGTCTGTATTTATGGACCCTTGCACAAACCTCGCATGGAGCATGGGGTGGATGGGAAATTGATTGCATAACCAAATTTGGGGAGATCCCTCCCCCGAAGAGTGGCGATGACAGAATATCAATCCACCCAACTCTTTCCATCTCATGTGGGTGCCTCTCACATCACTGACCAAATTGTGCAGGCAATTCCTCCGCCTTGAAATTCTACTTGGGCCTTTACCTCTCTCTTTGTCTCCTGATGAAACCTGTTCCCAGAGGCTAGGCATGGTCTAGTCCCAATTGCTGAATTCAATTATCATCCAAAATTTCCATCAGCAGAGAATTCTTATCGTATCCTTGTGGGGTTAGTTGCATCTGGAATTTGTCACCTGTCACTTTCCCTCACCAGCTCTCTGGCCAACAAGTGACAAAAAGAGACAATTCCTTTGTTTTAATAAATTTTATTGCAACATAAAGGAAATATAACTACAATTCCATTACTGTTTTCCTTTGGAAATTTGTTGGTCTTAAAATTCAAGTCTTATCAACTGACCAAATTTTGGCTAGAGATTTGCTGTTAGCCTTCGTGGGTGGTCTTCCCATTACCCACTTCATTCAATGAGTGGCCCTGACACTTTCTCTCATTCCCTCGTTGGCACTTGAGGTCATTAAAATATAATCTATTCTCCTGAACAGGGGTTGATTGGACACTTAAGAAAATACCATCATTTAATATTAATTTGACCATCATCAGCATCTCAACAACAAATATCCTTTCCTTTAATTTTCCTTGTTTTGTTATCAGTATACTTTCAGTCTGTTGAAAAAATAGCATTTTCCTTGTTTTCCAGTTTATTTTACAATTTACCAGTGCCTTCTTAATAGTGTCACCCCACAAAAATAAGAGCAGCCACTGTATTCTGCCTATAGACAGAATCAAGAAGCTCAGTCAGTAACAGACAGGGAAGGATAAAAATAAATGGAGTGGGAAAGTCAAAGACTGAACCAGTCAAGATAAAAAAAACAAACTGGGGAAATTGGAAATCTCGACATGGATCATAATAAAAGAGAATGTCAGAAATGATGCTTACTCACATTAACATTAACAAAGAGTGTCTATTTTAATCGGGGGAGGGTTCAACAGGAAACCGCCTCATTAAATCAAAGGGGACTTAAAAAAGAAAATCCCATTGACTTGAACCAAGCTTGCCACTTTCACCAACCTTTTGCTGAAATCTGTCAATAACAAACGCTTTCTGTCAGTTCTGATCTTCACCTTGAGTTGATGCCCAAAGAATCTGACCAGATCCAGATGAGAATATCATTTGTATCACAAGATTCCCTCTATTTGCAACATTGATACTACCATTCTTGCCACAGCTAGCAATGTTAGAAACAACATTCATTTCACCCGAGAATATGGGGACAACACATTATTGCACTTGTTATTGAGTCGTCAAGTGTGGCATTCCCCTCCCCGAAATGGATGCTGGACACAGACCTCTCTGCAGACCTGATGCTTGCCACCACTTCACAAGATGGAGGAAAGCAGGAGTACAGACAACTAGTAAAGGGTGAGGAGACAACATACATAGCACATGCCTCAGCCTTTCACAGACTAGCACCTTTGGAACCAAGTCCAGACCACCGCTCCAACCTTTGCCTGTACCTTCAACCAATTTTTCTTCAGCTGGAACCCAGGCCCGAACCACACTTCAAGAATGTAGACAGGTTCATCTGTCTAACTAAAGGACCCCGGGAAAACGACGCCCTACCAGGCACCTATCCACAAGCTGGAAGACTTGTTGCGGTTAATCTCTCCCCCCCCCATGACCTTTTGGTATCATTCAAGTACCTTCTGTACATCCTCAATGTTGCTGTGGCATGACACACAAATGGATATGTCATTGGCGTACATGGAAGCCCTAGCTCAAGCACCCCCAGGGACAGCAATTCTGCATAGGGCCAGACTGCACACACAGTCCCTCAGCTAGCGAAGGAGAAGATCCAATAGTGTAAAGTAGAGGTGACAGTGGACAACCCTGACAAAGCAACTGAGACAGCACAAAAGCATGCGACCGCTTTCCATTCACCTGTACCACAGCACTGGGTGAGCAATACAGGAGGCTGATCCACTTGCAGAAGTCGAGTTTGAATCTGGCAGCCTTGCAGGACAACAGGCAGGTACTGACAATCAACCCTATCAAACACCTTGGACTGATCCAAATTGATCAGCACAGCTTGATCATCATCTTTTACACCCTCTAGAAGAGTGCAGATCAGATGCAAATTGCTCTGAATTGTTTGTCCCTTCACAGAAACAAGTCTGCTTGGTTCCCAACAGAATCTTGGCAACTAACTGCAAATGCTGTCAGGACCTTGGCCAAAATCTTTAACACTTTGTTTAGCAGAGTTATGTGCCTGTAATTATCTAAATGCTGCCTACCATCCTTTGTCATTTTTCAATGGCATGATCATACCCCTGGATATCTGGTTGAGGACAGAACCCTGCAGGAACCGGTTGTTAAACACAACAGTTAAAATTGGCATGTGCGACAGCCTTAAGTGAAATTCATAGGGGCAAACCAACAAGTCATGGAGACTTACCACTGAAGAAGGTCGGCCCTCTTCAATGTCACGTAAACTTCACATTTTGTAATCTCACCTTTGCAGCTAGCTACTTCAGTCAGTGAATGCTGATGAAAGTCAGCCAAATAGCTGCAAAACTCTTTGCTGCAGTGTCCAGGCTCCTTGGTAAACCAGCTCTCAAAATGCTGCCAAAACACCTTGCACATATCTTGAATCAACTTCAGAGTACACCCGTACAGTCGTTGGCTATATTTGGTGGTGAAAGACCTAATTCTATCCTTAAGCCTCTCTCACCACTTATTCCCAATAACTGCTTTAACTAGTTCCTGCTGCATTAATCTAGTTGTTGCCTGATGACCCGTTTGTCCAGTAAAGGAAGATTGAACTTCCAGTGTCCAGCCATTCTCAGCCTAGCACCTAGCACCATCTTGGCACAGACAAGTCTATGGTCCAAATAGCCTAACCTGTGAAACAGGATGATCTATTTTGGGATCCAGAATGGTATTCGAGTCCCTCATTAAGACTAAGTGCAACAAATCCAGTAGGAACAGACCCAATGGACAGAAAAAGGAGACATGTTCCATCTGGTCGTTGGGTGCATAATCCAAAACAAACTACTGTTCGTGGCAATATCATCCACAATCAACTAGCTCCCCACATTGACATGGACAAGGTCCACCTTCACGCCCAGGGTATGTTTAACCAGAAAAAACATCTCTGGTCAGCTGGTCCCTCTATACTGAATAGACAACAAAGTTGCTAGACAGTACACAAGGATTAACTTCGCAAACAAAATGTGTCTCCTGGGTCATGGCCACATCTATGCCGAAGGACAAGAGATCACAAAGTAGGTAGGCTGCCTTACTCCAATCCCCTCGCATTCAAACTGGCTAGCTTGAGAGACATTTTTCAAGAGAAACCCTCTTAGATACAAACTGGATAGAAATCTGCAGGTGAAAGGACCCTGACATTGTCCCAGACTATTTTTCTATATCAGATGTAATTTGTCTATCCAGGACAATACTGCCAACATCCATGGGGAATGTTAACTTTCAAAGCCCCCCCTATAGTGAAGGATAGAATAACAATGAAATGAGACCCTCCCTACACAAAGTTTTGACAATTTTTTAAAAATCTTTTAACTCTATTTGCACCATTTTTATAGTAGAGAAAGCTTTTTGGGCAATGTCTAAAAAGTCCTACACCTTCAACTTGCCTCCCACATTTCTAATTAACGTTATTACTCCAAGAAAATTCCTGGGGTTGTTCATTGACTTCTCATTAATGGAGGTACACTTGAATAAAGGCCTCAAGTGGGCCTTCCTCTGTGAGGAGAGGTCCCTTGAGATCCTTTCTGTCTATTTAACAGATTGGGGAAGGGGTTTTTTTGGGGGGGCAGGGGTGATATGAGGGAGGGAGATGGCGAATCCTTAGTAGAAGTGAGGAGGCTCCCTGCCTTGTTGGCATAAATTACTTCTTTTCCTTTTGGTAAAGCAGGGGCAGATCGGGACTTGGAATGTTCCATTTCCTTCTCCATCCTGCTTTGGCCAGACTTTTTCTCTTTTTTCTTACTCTTGTCTTCCTCCTCCACCCTCTCTCTTCTTAAAAAAACTATCACGGTGGAGGCATATTCTTCACCTCTATACCATACTCTGGTTGTTGCTATTCTTGCTGCTGGTGTTGATGTTGCTGTAGTTGCTGTTAATGCAGTGGTTGCTGTTGCTTCAGTGGAAGCTGTTGCTTAAGGAGCTGCTTCCACAATTATTAAAATGTTCCAGTTACGGCACATCAAAATATTGGGGATATCCATGAAGCATTTGAAGGACATTGTCATCTGTAGGAAGACATTCCCGATGGCAATGTTCACTTTGCTCTTCACATTATGATACCCCCAATTTGTCTATAGTGCACAAAAAGGCCCCCCCCAATAGTTCTCAGATATGTCTAAGGGCATCCCGTGAAGTGTGATTTTCATCTTCCAGGCATCCAAATATTCTGTTTGCAGCCTTACTGATTTTGTGGTTAGGATGCTTCCTGCTAGTGTTTTGGTTTCTTTGACAGTTGTCAGCAGGATGTCCAACATGGTATTGATTTTTCTGGTCAACACTTTGGAGGCTATATTGAGGTTCTTAAGCGCCTCCTCCATTATCTCTCTGCTGACACCAGTCAATTTTCTTGTTTTTACATCCATTGTCAGCAGGGAGATTGTCCTCGTCAAGACTGCCTCCAAGACGGAAGGAATTGTTAGCAGCTCATTTCCAGATATGTAGTCTTTGTAGACTTCCTTTTGCTTCATAGTACTCCAGGCCCTTTTTTGATCTATCCACTTCCCATGCCAATGGAGTAGTGAGAGATGACTGTTCTAGCCATTGGGGATACACCACTATACTGGTGGGGCTCCCACATTAGCACACAAAAGAAAGTTCCAAGGAAAAAGACAATTCTACTAACACACAAGACAAGCAGACAAGTGCATAAGACAGTACAGAAATACAAATGTGGACAAAAATAAATCACTTTGCAAAGAATAATACAGATGAGTCCAAAAAAACAATCCAACGGAATTTACCTTGACTAGGAAAGATTGCAAAACACTTATCTCTCGTTAATTTATAGGCAGAATTTTTCCTAGCCAATAAAATAAGCTGGTTTTTCAGTTTCATCTGACTCAATCCCGTTGTGTCTTTTCTTGAAGTCACAACACTACGTTTGCTTGTCTAAACTTGTTTTTGTGTGTCAACCCCAATTCTTTGTGAACTTTTTGCCATATTACTGTTGCTTTGCCTTATTATTGTTAATTTGTCTTGTATATATTGTTTGCTTGCTTTTTATTATTTTTTGCCCTGTTCTTTTCTTTTTCTTGTTATTGCTTACTGCATACTTTTTCAATTCTGTTTGTCAGGCAGTTCTGTTACTTATTTTACATTTAACCATGGTTACTCCCTCCACAACTTTGAATGTTGTTTTTAGTAGATACCCATATTTGAGTAGACACTCCATTTATTTATTAAACCCTTTTTTTTTAGTATATGAACCTGAATATTCTACTCAATTATGGCTATCCACTAAAAGTAACATTTAAAGTGATAAAAATATGTCAGATTAATGAATAAAGATCCATTGCTTCTTTAGGAACTGTAATGTATAACATAAAAGGAGCTTGATTGTATCTCTTTTCCTTTATTCTAATTTTTTTCTTTGAGATTTGTGAGATTTTTGATTTGCTATGTTACTGAATAAACTGCCAACTTGTATATTGTATACTCATTTATTGAAGGAACTACCTGACATTACCCAAGTTGTTTTTTAAAAAGAAAAACTACAAAATAGTTGTAAACTCTATGACCTTCTAATAAGATGAGGATTCAGTTTATTATATTACAAATGTACAAGAGAAAGAATTTGTATTATTTATTATTATTTTGTGTATTATTTACACTATTTATATTTGAACTACTGTTTCCATCTTTGTTGTTAATAATAACAACAACAAAGATGTGGAAAATAGTTCAAATATAAATAGTGTAAATAAAAATTCCACATCCCAGAAATTCAGACAAAGAATTTGTGCATATGAGTTTTCATCAAAACTAGACTGGCATGGAGTCAATTTACAAACAAAATAGAACTGTTTACAAAGGTTGGTTTAAAAAAAAAAAAAAAGAAAAGAATTCTCAGCTTAAGCCACTTCCCAAAAACTGACTAAATGACCAAAAGAACATAAGATTTTTTTTTTTTTAGAAGGGCTTTTCAGCATTCCTTCATATTCTTTATACATTCTTGGTTAACTTTACAGGCATAAAATTATTTCTAGTATATATTTTAATAGTCATGCTCATATTATTTCATAGAACAAATTTTTTTATCAAATATTAAAACCCATGCCCAAATAGAAATTATAACAGTCAAGTTCTAAATTATTAAAGAAAAATATTCCTCTTACCTGCAGCTACAATGTAGGCTCCTCTCTGAGAAACTAATGCACAAACTTCTTTTACCAACATAAGATCTGCTTTTTGAGAAAGTTGCAACAAATCAAGTTCTTTCAAAATATTTGATGTATTTGTAAAGTCCTCATCTGTATCACTGAAATAGGAGAAAATTGTTTTAGTTTAAAAACTATCAGGTCATCCCATAAGTTCTGTCCGAATTTTAACTTTTTGTTAAAATGAATGAAATTTAATGAGTATTTTATAATGTCTAATGGAGCTGAACATTATTTTTATGTTTAGATGCATTTAAACTGATCAAATTTTATTTCAGAGAACAATAAAATTAAATTTTGTTTGATTAAAACCCTGCTAACATGGAAATACCCAAGAATCATTTGAGGCACATAATGCTTTATGAGTTCGGAAACTCATTTTAAGAAAGGAAACTCAGCAGCCGAAGCGGCTAGAAACATTCACTCAGTTTATGGAGAGGAATGTGTGAATGAAAGAACTTGCAGAAGATGGTTTGCAAAATTCAGAGGTGGAGATTTCACACTTGAAGATGAAGATCGAACCAGATGTCCAATTGAGTTTGATGAAAAGATTCTTGAAGCAGCCCTTGAAGAAAATCCTGCTTCATCAGTTGAGGAATTGGCAGTGGTTCTCAGTTCAAACCATACAACTGTTCATTGTCATCTTCAACAACTTGGAAAAGTTCCTAAACTTGGAAAATGGGTGCCTCATGAATTGTCTGAAAACAACCTCAAATCCCGAGTTGACATCTGCTCTTCTCTCCATTCTCGCCAACTTGTTTCAACTTTTTTGGATAAAATTGTGACTGGCGACAAAAAATGGATCTTTTATTGAAATGTTAAGTGTCGTAGACATTGGCTTGGTAAAGGGGAAGGGCCACAGCCGAGAAGGGAACTTCATGAGCAAAAGGTTCTTCTTTCAATCTGGTGGGATCGCCAAGGAATAATCCACTTTGAATTCTTACCACCTAATGCAACAATTAATTCTCAAATATACTGTCATCAATTAGAGTGTTTGAACCAAGCATTGAGAAAAAAAGACCTGCTCTAGTGAATCAAAAAGAAACAGACACACAGCAAGAATCACGTCACAAAAGATCAAAGAACTTGGTTGGGAGAAAATTCCTCATCCACCTTATTCTCTCAATCTTGCTCCTTCAGACTACCATTTGTTTCGTAGCTTACAGAATCATTTGGAAGAAACAGCTTTTGTAACAAAGGAACAGGTTAAAACTGACATTTGTGATTTCTTCGAATCAAAGCCAAAAGAATTTTACAGTAATGGAATTAGTAAGCTTGTTAATAGATGGAAGGAAGTCATAGATAATCAGGGAAAATACATTGTTGATTGAATCTGTAATTAAATGTCACATTTGGTCACTTGTTTTCTTTATTCAAAATTCGGACAGAACTTATGGGATGACCTGATATAAAAATACTAACAATGTATTTAAAATTTATTCTGCATATGTAATTGTATTTCATAATTCTGTCAGCAGAGTATAAGGAGTAAACCAGGTTTAGGTGGTAGCAAGATTTGTGAACGGCACATGAAAACAATAACTGATTGAAAATGGAAGTTGTTTATCTTTACACACATCCTTTCTGTTATGGGCATTGGTATGGAAAGTGGAATTGGTAAGCCAAGTTCAAATTCCTGCCTAGTCACTTTCACACAAATACATTTGAGAAAGTCATGAATCCATTTCTTGACCCCTAGCTATAGAGAAAATGACAGGGTAGTCTGAACTCTCTAGCTTTTGGGTGGCAATCAGTTTAGCAGTACATTAGGACTGCTTTCCTACACACATGTTCACATGTGTTAAGTGCCCAATCCAGTGCAATAACACATATAGGTCTAGCACTTCTATATCAGCCAGCAAGAAACACACCTAAGTCCACTATAAAACCGCTATTAATTAATATTACTAAATCTACAATTTTGTTGTTGATGTCAACTCAGAGAAAAATGTTATGATAATTTTAAATTAAAAACCCAATGGGAAATTGTAAAAAGTAAGGTAATTGGCATAAAATTTTCAATTTTTTCAATAGTTTGCTCTGATTCAAACACTCTCTCAAAATGAAAATATCTACTCTGCGAATCACAAGACATCTTTATCTTAGAAAAATGTTTCAGAACAATGAAATTTTTTCTTGTCTATGAACAGCCTCTGATCTTTTGAAGTGCATGTGATCACTTCTCTCAGCTGTTTTCACTCTTTGCAACAATCTGTCTGCTTACTTTACTACAGTCCCATGTCAAGCAAATTCTTACACACTATCACTTCTACATACACACAGTGTACATGTGTGTCAGTATGTTTGCACACATGTACACTGTATGTCTGTAGAAGTGATGAAATATATCTCCATGCATTGTCTGAAAAGTTTACAATGCATGGGAGCTATATTTCATTATGGGGAAAAATTAAGGAAGAACAAGTAAGCCATATATTACTTCAGGCTGGTGATGAGGGACTGTGATAGTGCAGAACTGAATACTAACAGATGAAGAAAGGTGATCACCAAATGCAATTTTCAACACGTTCCTGGACCAGTTAGAATCTTGCAGAAATTTCAGGGTCTGTCACCTTAAACTAATGATAGACAATTGCATAACCAAAACAAACTGGAAGCAAAGAAATATTCATTTACAGAGAAAAAAACTACATAAAATAAGAGCTCATAATTGCCAGTACTCCTATTGTAGACTTTCAGAAAGAGCTCCTAAGAAAAGATGCAAACTTAACCCTTACAGATGCACTGAACATACAAAGCTTTAGACTGATGTGTGACAAAGCCTTGCACAACATTGGTGATGTCCCAAACAGCCATGCAAGTTATAACATGCAAAAGCTGTTTCAACTGTGAAAATAAAATATCATGCCTTTTGCTGTGAAGTTTGTCCTGCATTAAGTTCAATTTGCAATACATGTGGAAAAGTAAACCACTGAGCTACAATCTGCCAATCGACAAAAATTCAGTGGAAGCCTAGTATAATGTATACTCTGGCTGCTCTCTATTCAAGTTCAATCCCCTCGGCTGATTGTAGAGTTGATCACTTCAACCCAAGTCTTGTCTTGCCCCATGCTGTGCCAATTGATCGCAAGACTGGCTTGGTCGACTAGAATCGATGACTTGGTTTGGTCCAGTCACAAGAAAGAAGAAAATATAAATTGGATAAAAGAAAAAAATATTTATAAACATTCCTTGATGCAAAGTTGATGGTACAGTTATTGATGGCTTAAGCAGGTCTATATTCTCCATGCAATAACTATTGACCCTTCTCGACTAACATAACACACTTTGTTGTTTTGGTTTTGAATGAGACTTCTGGAACAAGGCTTTAATCAGAGGCTTTTTCTTCAGAGCAGCAAATCACATGAGATCAGGTGAAGCAGTGGTTCTTGTCTCTCAGTTCAGTCTTATCTTCACACTCTCTCTGCGGTGTCTACCCTCTTCTACTCAGTGTTCTGTTTTTATGGACCCCTACGTAAGAGCTGGGGTGGGGTATGATGTGCTCTAGGAATGCCAGTATTCGCCAAACAACCAATTGGGGCTCTCCCTCCAAATGTCCAAATATGGAAAACCGAGATCACACCAATCATAGATCAAAACAAAGATGTGAATACAAAAGTCCATTTTGTTTTTGCAACAAGAAATGTTCTTTACCCACTGTTACTGTGTACAACAACCAAAACACAGAACAATTTGATAACTTCATGTTTAGCAGCATGAAATATCATCTGTGTCTCAACATAGTGATAATGCTTTTGCTCATATAAATATCCAATTATCAAATAGACCAGGCATCCTCAATCTCCAGCTCAAAATAGACATGGAAGTGCAAGGATACCAATCAATGATAATGTTCTGCAGGATATTCCAGAAATAATTGATGTTGGAAGATATATTGAAATTATTATGAGTCTTTTGTAGTAACCCCCGTTTGAATGGGTCCCTTGGCATTGTGACAACGATCCCTGTGACTGGCTGAAAAGGAACCAGTCAGAAGGCCCCTTACTAAAGCTGCTTCATCTAAATCTGTGTGCCATGTTTGAATCTTTCTTCCTCTTTCCCACATTGGCTTTCAATGAGTAGCACACAAAAAAATCTGCTCTCAGAAAAAACAAATCTGGGATCGTAGTGCCTACTCCATGTGAAGAAATATTTTCTCAGGATTCTGAATGCTGAGAAATTGCAGGCCACCAACACAACAACAAGGAATCACAAGACCTCAAAGAACTGTTAACAGAACGTTTCTTTTCTGTGACAAGATAAGTCCACAAAATACCATTTTTTTGCAACACCATTATTGTAAACCTCCTTCCTTTCTATTTTCTTCTGTTATACTCATAAAATGTTTGAATTTCAAAGATTTGGTTTTTGTTCTTTTTTTCTCACACTGTTACATCGCTGAATTATCCTTTTTTTCAACAACAGTAGTTATATTTTCAAACAAACTTAAATAAGTGAAATACCAACACTTTGCAAAAAAAAATGTGAACTAACAGTTTATGCTATGAAAAATAAGGATGAGTTAATAAGGCATTTGCTTAGATGTGACTCACTTGAGGAAAAAGTTCAATAGGTGTATTATTTTGGTGTCTACTAAGGACTAGCAGTTTCCTATGTTCTTTCTCTTTATTACACTAGTGAAATTGTGCAAAAATTTTCTTCACTCAAAATGACCAAATTTAAAAACTGTAAAAGGTGTAAAGTCTTTGTTGTTTAACCATGATTCCCTAAAAAGGAAAATAACTTTGTACCTCTATTAACTTGTGTACCAAACTAACATGCAGAAACAACCCTTTATCTTGCTTATAGTGTCAATTACTGTATGAAAGGAAAAAATAAATACAAACTCAACTGTCTATTTGATACAAGCAGTCAAAGGTTCTACTTTTCTAAACACGTGATAAAAAAGATGAGAGGAATCTTTTCTAACTCCTGTAGAACTTGACGTTAAGACCTTCTTAGGGTTTATGAAAAAAAGTTTAAGCCAGGTTGTATTGGGTATTGAAGTAGATAGCTGTGAAAGTCCTTACCCATACCCGTTCTTATTGTTAATGATTTTGATATGACTTTTAAGTTCAATAAGTTGGAAACTAAAAAATAA